GGAGAGTCATGCCTCTGCCCACCTCCAGGGAGCTTGCTTATGGGGCCCAGGGTCCAGGGCCTGGCCCTGCACCCAGCGCAGCCTTGTTGTTGGCAAAGACCCCAGGGTTTCTTTTCAGGGCGAGTATCAGCCTCCAGGGGCAGGGAGAGCCCAGCACAGGTAGGTGGACACTTGGTAAGGGGCACATACCATGGCTGGGGAGGCCCAGGTGGTAGAGACGCTGCGGGTCCTCAAAGGTGCTGGCCTCACTCAGTGCGGACATGAGCCGGCGGTAGTGATCCTCAGGGGCCATGCTGGGTCCCAGCTCTGACAGCAACAGAGTCTCTGCTTGTGGGGGGCATACAGGGAGGGGTCTCCTTCAGGTACCGCCCAGGTGGAGAGCTTGGGCTTACCCCACCCTGCAGAGGGTCTCGGGTCTGTTATACCTTCCCGGTCCTGTCACCTGCCCCCTCCACCCCCACAGAGGGCTCCCACCTTGGGGGGACTTGCTTCGAGCCTTCTTCTCCAAAGGGCAGTCAGTGCTGATGTGGGGGGAGCGGCCTAGCCTCTTGCCCAACAGGTCACCTGGGGGAGGGTAGAGTGAGCCCCACCATGTGTCTGGCCCTCAGCCCCGGTGGTCTTGGGCTCACTGGGCCGGGCTGAGGGTTTGGAGGGATGGAGATTGGGAGGAGCAGGGAGGGAGAGGACAACCCAGCTCACTAACTCCAGCCTCCGTCCCTGCCCAGCCCCAGGTCAGCCCAGAACCACACCCATCACTGCTCAGGGTGTCCGTGGGTCCTGGCCACATGAAGGCCCTGCCCAGCCAAGTCCCAGGCCTCCAGCAAGAGGACGGCGCTGGCCCTGGGCTCTGGGTGTGTGTGTGTGTGTGTGTAGATGTGATGGCAGATTTCTGGTAACAGCCTCAGGGCAACTCAGGACCCCACAGGCATCCTGCTGCCCCCCCAGCCAGAGGGTTGTCCAGTGCAAGGGTAGGTCTGCTCAGCACCCTGCCAGAGAGGGAGAAGAGGCTCCCGATGCCACTCCCAGGACAGGGGTGAGGACTGCCCACACTCTTCCTGCTCAGGGAGGCCTGGGGGGTGGGGTGCAGGAGCCGCCCCCTCTGTGACCCAGGGCCACCAGGACACCTCGGCAAAGGGGCACTGCCATCAGCTCCAGAGCCTAATTCCTTTTCCTTATTCCCTTAATCTGTCATTTTTATCAGCCCGGGAAGTGCGGCGCGATCAATCTCCACTTTACAGCTGACAGAATGGTGCTAATAACTTATTGATCTTGGCCACCTTGCTGCCACTGGCCCGTCCCGTGGCTCAACCCAGGCCCTGCCCATCCCTATCTCAGGGGCCTGGCAGGATGGGGGCACAGCCAGCATGAGGCCCCTAGAGAAGTCCAGTGGACAGCCCGGTGGCTTCAGGGTCCCAGGCAGGAGGGCTGCATGTCTGACTATGCCAGGGCTGGGTCCACACCCCGACCCGTACATAACCCAGGGCTCTCACCTCCCTGTGACCTGCTTCCCACTGTCCACAGTGGAGCCCCCTACCCCCACCCCTTTCTATGGGGGGAAGGGGTCCCCTGTGTGGTGGCTGCATAAGGTCCTGCCAGGGGGTCAGGTGACTAGTCCGCGATAAGGGCCACATTTACGCAGGGACACAGCCTGGATCCAGAAGCAGGCAGCCAACCACAGGTGCCGCCCCCCCCCCCCAGCCCCCCCCCCAGTCCTCCTGACCTTCCCACTCAGGTGCCAGGGAGGGGCTGGGGCTGTGGGGACAGGATTAGCAGGCGGCTTCTGGGGAAGAGCAGGTGAAGACAGGCAGGTGACCCCAGGGCAGGGCCACAGGAACACAGGGAGGCAAAGGGTACTACAGCCCCGAGGAGAGGTCGAGACTGTGGTGAAACCTGGGCCCAGTGCACAGGTGGCACTTCCTGCAGAGCAAGGGTGACCTCGGCACAAAGTGGGAGCGAGGACACCCTGACCCAGGCACGCAGGGCCCCCAGCACCGCCTGGCTGGGGCTGGGCACACGTGTGGTGCAGGCGCCCTGCTGTCCGGGGAGGGCCCGCTGGCTCAGAATATCTCAATCATCACGGGGCTCCGGAGGCTCTGCCAATCGATGGGGCAATTAGATTTTATCAGCCGCCTGCTCAGCAGCCTCCAGCACGGCTCCAGAAGCAGCCCCCACCCCAGGGCCTTCCCAGGCACAAGCATGTGGGGGGAGCCCGGGGGAGGGCACTAAGGGGACGCCCAGGGGCCCAGGATGCTGGCACCCCCTGCCCAGCCTCCCTGAGAACTGCAGCCACTGCTGGAAAATTCCCTGCCCAGGGCTCCTAGGACAGCCAGGGACCCTGCCAGCTCCTTGCCCAGCCCACAGCCCCGCCCTCGTCAGCTGCAGCCCCTCCCTCAAGAGCCACCCCTCCGAGGTGATCCCAGAGCTCCTGGGCCGGCACCTCCCTACCCAGTCTCCCTGCTCTCAGTGAGGGACCCTTCCCTCCTGGGACCCCGTGAGCTGTGGGGCTGGAGGGTTATCAGTGCATGTCATGTGCAGGTGTGCCTTTCTGAGCCTCTGTGAGGCCCACACATCCCTGACCGTCCTTGCCTCCGTCTGCCCCTGTGAGCAGGGGTGACAGAGGCCTCGCTACTCCAAGCCCACCGCAGCAGCAGCCACCATGGAGCCACGGCCTCTGCGCCGCCCCCCCCCCCCCCCCGCCCTGCTGGCCGGGATTAACACAATTACCATCACATGCAGCCCCAGGGGACAGCCAGCCTCGCCACCTCCCTCCTCCTCCGCTGGCCTCCCTGGCTGCCTGCCAAGGCTGCTGGGGGTGGCGGCATCCAGGCCACTAAGCAGACACTGGGAGGGTAGCGGCAAGGGCTGTCCTCAGGCTAAGCTGCTGTGGCCCTGCAGCCCCCTCCCGGCCCCTGTACTCCCAGCCTCCTCACCTGGACCACCCAGGCCTATCTCCACGCTGCTTCTCTGGAAGTCACAGCGGCTCTGATGCTCAGGCATAACGAGGTGGCTGCCGCGATGCAGGCTGGATAGGAGGGTGGGAAGGTCGCTCTCCTGGCTGCAGCAAGGCAAGATGGGGAAGGTGGGACCCATGAGGCAGGGTGCCAGACCAAGCTTGAGTGTGGGCGTGTACGGCACCAGGGGACAGCATCTGAGTGCGGCCATGCCTTCTGCACACCTCCGGGGGTGGCCTGTGACCCCATGTGTGTGAGCATCCCTGTAGCAGGACCAACCTCAAACAGCTAGCACCTGCCAAGTGTCTGCTGGGCAGGGGAACTTGCACACAGACCCCACAGCAGCTCCGGGGAGGGTCTGTGCAGAGCTGGGCTGGCGCAGCCTTGCCATGCTCTCTCCAGTGACCAGGACTGTGTCCATGCCCCCTGCTGGGAAGGCAGCCAGGCACCGACCAGGCAGTATGCCTGCCCCCGGGGAGCCCGGGCACACACTGTCACGTGTGTGCAGCCTTGGCTGCTTCGGGGAGAACGCTGCCCACACTATTTCAACTAAACCTTGCAACCAGCCATGGACCCCCGATTACTTCAAATAAGGAAACCAAGGGTCAGACCAAAGGCCAGCTCCTGAATGGAGACGAACATTCATGACACACAGGCACATGCACACTCATGGGGGCCACAGCCCTGCGGACCTGCAGACATGGACACAGGCGTGGTGGGAGCCTGCTCACCTCAAGGCTCCCAGCAGGACCTCAGCCAGGCCTTGGGGGGGGGGGGGGCTTAGGGTAAGCATGTAGGTAACTTTTGTTCTCTCACTTCTGTTCCTCAATCCTACATTACAGAACCCCAGAGAGAAGAGGGAGTGAAGAAACCCCAGTGCGACTTGTAGAGATGGCGCCCCACTCCATTAGTGATGCCACCTTGCAGACACAGTCGGGCAGGACAGAGGAGAAGCAGGGAGGGACTGCCCCCCCCCCCAGCACCCTTGCTCCCTGGCCCACCTGTAACAGAGCAGCCTCCTGGCTGGGCCACTGCAGGGGGACCTCCATGGAGTGACCTGGAACCGACCCTAAGCCTCATTAAATAGCCTGCGCCCTGGCCTGGGTGGCTGGGCGGCTTATCCAGGGCTGTCCCCTAAGCAGATCAGTTTCAGCACCAAAGACGCCAGGGCTGGGCTCCCTCCCACCCCACCCTCAGGAGAGAAGGTGGCCTCCCCTGCAGACAGGAAGGCAGGTGGGGTGGGAGCAGGTACTTTAGGGGACTAATTAGAAACTAATCCACCCCCTCACCCATCCTCATCAACTCGAGGGGGGTAGGAGATGAGCTGCTGTCTCAGCACCAGGGTGGGGTGGGGCCTAGAGGCGAGGCCAATGCTGCCCTCAGGTCCCCAGGGCTCCTGCAGAAGGTGACTGACATGTGAGAACAGGCCCCCACTGCAGCCATCAGCTCTTTCATGCACAGGTCATTCGGGCACTCCAGGGTGGGGCAGCTCCTTGGGGGTGATGCCCAGTGGGAACCAGGACACCCCGCTCTTTGCCTTGGGAGTTCACCCCAAGACAGCCTGTTCCTGCCCTGGGAAATCTGTTCTGGTCACTCACTGAACAAATCACACGACAAAGAAACTTTGCACACTGACTGACGGTAGGTGAATCCTCCCCGGGCCTCCAGCATGAGATTCTGGAGCCATGAAAACACCTCTCACCTGCTATTGTTACTTGCAATTTGTAGGGGGCTCTGAGGCTCCCTGGGGGGCTGAGTGGAGGAGGGTGCGCTGGGAGAAGGAAGAGGGGCCTTAAAGGTTCCCTCAGCGACCATCACACTGCCCAGTCCTTTCCCACCTCCTGGCCAGTTCAGGGGTTCTGACAGGGCAGGGACCACATCTGCCTGCTGCCCAGTGCTCAGACCCATCCACTTCAGGGTCAGATGGATAGAAGGACGGGATGGACAGACAGACGATGGACAGGCAGATGAAGATGGATGATGGAGTCAGACGAACAGACCGATGGAGAAGGATAGAGAGTGGTGATGGCAGACAAACAGGCATGATTGGACAGATGGACAGAGTCTGACAGACAGGAGACTAGAGACAGAAGGACAGAGGGACAGGGCCAAAAGGAGCGACAGCAACAAAGACAGAGAGGGTAGGCAGTGTGAGGCAGCTGGGCTGGGTGCTGCATGGAGGGGCTGAAAGTCCCCTTGGCCCCCATCCCCCACCTCTCCTCTGGTAAAAGGCAGGAAACGATCCTAGCTGCTTCTACCGCCTGTCTGAGCAGGGGGGACCCTCTCCCACTTTCCAAGGCCGGGTAGGTGGGGGCGAGGTTGGGGGGCCTGCAGGGAGAGTCGCCCTGGAGAGGAGCAGCAGCCCCTGGGTTCCTACCAGCTTTGCGAGTGAATTTACCCTGTAGCTTCCCAAGTACAAGCCTCATAAGATGTCATCACTGTTCACGATGGTTTATAAAAAGGACCAGCTCAGCGGGCAACTTCAAAATGAGGTAGAAATAAGTTTGAAGATGTTTTCATTGTAATTTGGCTCCAGATCTAGACCTCGGAGCCAGGCTGGGAGTGGGCAGGACCAGCTCCACCCGGGGGCCCTGCCCAGGCAGCTCGGCCAGACCTGATGCTCACTGCCCGCTGCCCTTCCTGTGGCCGCCCCATAAGGAGGAGAAGACTTGACCCCACTGACCAGAAAGTACGGCCTGGGCTCCACCCACAGACTGACCTCCCCTTGCCCCCTGGAGCCAGAAACTTGGGTCCCCTAATGCCCCCAACCTCCTCTCAGGTCCCCTCACTGTTATCTCCCTCCATCCTGTCTCCACAGCCTGAATCACTGTGGACTCAGCAAATCCCCCACCTGCTGGGCAGGGCCTCAAGAGGACCTTTCGAAACATACATCTGGTCACTCTTCCAGCTCAAGAACTTTCGGTGGCTCCCCACTGCCTGGAGGACAACACCCAAGAGGCCTAGCATCCAAGGCTCTTTAACATCTGATCGAGCTAGACTTGCTGACTGGGGACCTCCTCCCCTCCCACATCCCCTCCCCTCATTTCTCCATGTCTTTGCAGACATCCCCTTTCCCTAGGGAACTCCTATGCTGCCTTCAAGATCCCACTCACACATCACCGTTCTCACCTCCTGGTGGGTCTCTGGGAGGGTGGGAGGGGGCGGCTATGGCCCCATCTTTGGGCAAATGGGCTCAAATGGCCAGTCCCATGTGGGAGGGGGACTCTGGCTCCAGAGTTGTGCTGCCAAAGCCCAGGGACAAGTCGACAGACAGACCGCAGATGAAGGAGGGGAGGAAGGAGGAGGCCGGAGAGATCTAGAAGCAGACACACACTGTGTGGGAGAAAGCCTGACCCAGGCCCCGACCTCACCTGCAGGACGTCTCTCGGAAGGAGATGTTCACATCCCAGTGGGTGTGGACCCTGGGAGGAAAGAAGGCGAGTCAGCATGGCAGCTGGACAGCAGACGGGTGTGTGGCATGTCCCTCATCTGCCCCCAGCACCCCCTGAGGAACTGCGCTGGCTCAGGCCTGTCTCCAACGCCACCCGGAACCAGTTCAACTGCGAGGGCTGCCACCAGGAGGCGGGAAGCACGGAGCTGAGGCACCGTCTCTGCTGTGACCGAAAGGAGCTGAACGTTGTGCTGGGGTGGGGGCTGCAGCTCCCTCTGCATGTCACTCATGTGACCAAACCCAAACTTCTAGTGGCCAGAGCTACCCCAGCTGGGCTGGAACCAAGCCAGGAATGAGCCCGCAACTGCCCCCAGTGCCAATGGCTGGGTGTCAGCCCACCTATAGGCCTCGGGGTCCCAGCTGTTGCCAACTGCCTTCCTAAAAGTGACCACTGCACTACGGAGGCAGCGGGGACGCCAGGACCAGAGGTCAGGCAGGAAACAGCTCTGCCCTGTGCCCGCTCTGCCCCATGCCCGGCTCTGCCCTGTGCCCGGGTCCTCCACCACAGCAGTGCCCCTGGAAAGACCACGGGCTGAGGAGGCAGGGGAAGTCTGTGGTGCTTCACCTTCCCAGGTGTGGGTGTGGGCTTGGCAGTGGGGTCCTGCGGTCCGAAAGATTAGTAGGGTAGGAGACATTGGAAAGTGCTGGAAGACTAGGTGGGAAGAGGCCTAGAAATTCTGGATGGATGGACAGAGAAGTCAGTGGCCAGAGGGAGGTTCCTCTGCCGTGAGGGGAGAGGTGGGAAGTCAGGAAGAGTGGCCCCAAGCCTGGGATGGGACAATGAGGACCCAGCAGAGCTACCACCTGCCAAGGAACATGAGCACAAGTATATAGGGGGGGTCCACCCACTCCCCACCCCTCGCCTGGCTGTGGTGGGACCAGGCACCCCTTCCCAAACCCTGCCCGGGTCTCCCTGTCCCCCGGAGCCCTTGGGCAGAGTCCCCCTTCCTTCCTCAGCCCATTGTTGTGCCCGCTCCCCAACAATGCTGATCCAGTCCTGGCTTGGCCCTTTGCCCCACGTGGGGCAAGGTGGGCTCTCACTGTGGTCCCATGAGATGGAGGGACTGGCATGTTTGAGCTGAGGCACAACAAGCTAAACCCGGGCCCAGTCCCGAGGGCAAAGGACTCCCCTCCAGGTCTGGACCTGCCTCCAGCTGCCTGCAGACCTGTCTTGAAGTCCCATCTGGCACCTGAGCCCATATGCCCTCCACGCCCTCGCCCTGGGAAAGTACCTTCTCTTCATGATCCGGATGTGTGTGTCGTCCTCCTGCTTCAAGCCAGGCCGCTGCCCGCAGGCTGGCCCGCTCCCGTCGCTGTCGCCATCACTGGCTATGAAGCTGGGGGTCAGTTCTTTCTTCAAGACCCGAGCAGGAGGCAGAGCGACTGTCCTCTTGTCTGCCAATCGCCCCCGGTTCTGGGCAGAGAGGGAACAGAGGGAGGTTAGCCCCTCGGCCCTCTGGTGGCTGCACCACGGCCCGACCCCCAGGCAGGCCCAGGTGACAGAGCTTCACAGTCAGCAGCACGTGTTCCCCGCTGCCCTGGCCAAGAAGGGAGCCACCAGCCTCCAGGACGGGCCCCAGGGTTGGCAAAGGCCACAACTGACCAGAGGCCAAGAGCAGGGAGACAAGGCCTCGGGCAGAGCCCTTCCATGGACGCCCTTCCACCCTGGCCAGGGCTGAGGCTCAGGGGTGGCCCTGGCCAGGCTGCTCTGGGCACTGCCTTGTCCAGACTGCACACTCCAGCCCAGCCGTCCCAGCCATCAGCCTGAGCGTGAGATGCCACCTGAAGGCAGACTCGGCTTCCCCAGTGCCTCCGAACCCAGAGGGGTCATCTGTCTGCACCACAGCCCCTCTGCGTCCTGTGGCTCTTTTGACATGCAGTGCCCTCCATGTGTGCGTGCGTGTCTGCCTGGGAACCCTGCTCAGACTCTATGAACCCCCAACGGAGCCCAAGCCATGCAGAGCCCAGGTCCCACGGGGTCTGAAGCCCTTGCAAATCGCAGGCCTGGGGTTCACAGATCACTTGGCCAGCCCAGCACTGTGAGCCCAGGAGTCCCGGGAGATCCAGTTTTCCACAAGGCCCCTGAGCCCCACCCCTGCGCCCACCATGACCAGGTAGGGCTCATGGCACAGAGCTGAGGTGCCTGAGCCGGAATGCAGACGCACAGGGCACTCACACAGACTAATGCACGCTCAGAGCTGGTGCACACACGCTGGCGAGCTCCCTACACACACGGCCCTGTCCAGTGTGCTCAGGTCCCGCCATCCAGGGGAAGAAGAAAAGGCAGTGATGGTTTTCTGGTGGGCAGGGAGCTTTTTCTTATTTAGTAACAGGTTACTGGCTCAGGGAGGTGGCAGGGGTCTTGGGATTATCTAATTCTCTCTCATCTTTTCAGTCCCAGGGGCCTCCTTTGACCTCCTTCCTTCTGTTGCCAGGACAAGGCATCCCCACCACACCCCTGAGCTTGAGGAACAAAGTGTCAGGGGTACCTGGCCCCTCCCTGGACCAGCTCTGCAGCCATCAGTCCTGTCCTCAGAGTAAAGGTTCTCTTTAGTCCACCATCACCTCCAGACACATGGCACCCGCACCCCAGGCACCCTGGCCTCCTCCACACCTGCCCTCAGGAGTCACCCTCCCGTCTCCTCTGCAGCACTCAGTGACACAGACTGGGCAGCCAGGGTCCGGCACGGGGTTGGGGTCGGGGGTCAGTCTGTGAATAGCCTGCAAGACAGGGCTTGCTCCATGGCCCCTCTCTGACCCTAACCCCGGCCCAGCTCGTCACCAGCAACAGCAGAGCGTGAGTGAGGCTGCACAGGTGACCACTGTCTGGTCCCCAGACCTGCACGTGCCCGTCAGTGGGCTTGGGAGTTTGGAACAGTTCCCCGCCCATCTGGAGTGCAACTCTGCTGGGAGGTCCCGCTCAGCTCTGCCCTTCTCTAGCCTGCTGCAGGCCAGGCACCAGGACCGCCTTTCCTGCTGAATCCAACCCACCCAAGGAAAGGAAAGGCGTGCCCTCTGCTTCTCACCCGTAGGATAGGGAAGAGGAGAGGGAAATGGCAGGTTAAGACTACTGCTTGCCATGAGGCCAGACCAGCTCTGCTGGCTTAGGGTGGCTCCTGTGGGTGCTCCCATGGGAGGGGGGCTCAGAGACAGAAACAGGATGGGCAGCCCTGACCCCGGCCAAGGACAGGGGACATGCATGCCTTCCACGCACACTGGAAACCTCAGCCACTCATCCCTGCTTAGCAGCACAGATTTGAAAACTGGGTGCCGAGCCTCCTCCCCTAGCCAAATACTGGCTCCTCGGGCATCAAGTATGGCCGCTTGTGTGGCTGCATGATCCCTGCGCCACAGACCCAAATTCTGCCCCTTGAGTATCTGTGACTGCGGTGTACGTACACCTGTGGGGCTGGCTGTGGGGGAAGCCAGTCTGTGTGCAAAAGTGGGGGCTGGAAAGACAGGAATTCCATGGGGCTCCTTAAGGGCAGGGTATAGTGCCAGGCCTGGGAGGGACCAGGCTCAGGAGGGGCAAGCCCAGGTCTGAGCCATCACTCATGCAAAGCAGGAACCTGGAAGCCCTGGACAGGCAGGCAGCCCTAAACTGTGTCCCCATCTCTGTCTGAACCACCATCCAAACCACGGCCATAAGGAACTGGTCCTGGGCTCAGGCCACCTGCCCCCTCACTCCTGTGGGAAGGCAGGGCTCCTCCCACCTGAACAGAAACTCCAGGCTGGCGAGGAGGCGAGGACCCCTCCTCTGCACCAGCTGCTTGAGAGGGTGCAGAAGTAGAGCTCGAGCTTGGTCTCTGGCCCCAGGAAGGTACGGAGGCCATGGCAGGAGGTGGGGTACCTGTGCACACCTGTCTGTTGTGTGGGCATGCCTGTGGGTGATGAGCTCATGTCAGACAATGTGTGCGGTGGACATGCAGTGAGTCCCCCTCCCCTGCCCAGCGTGTGTGTCTGACCTGGTGTCTGTCTTCACAGTTGTGTCTGTGACTTCCTAGTTTTTCCAGATTCCCTGCCGCCAGGGCCCAAGAAGAACCCAGGACATCTCCTCCCTCCCCCAACCGACAGCTGTGCCGAAGGTAAAGGCCAGGGACCCTGGGCCCTCTCAGGCCTTCCTGCGAGAGGGGCTGCTGGCTGGTGCCAGTAAGAGCAGCACAGCCACCCACCACGCAGCCAGGCCTCTAACCGGCTCTCCCCAGGGGCTCAAAACTGGTCCTTCTTGAGATGCAATTTCCTTTCCAGATCAGCCCTCCACCCGCTGCTGCCTGGAGGACATGTGCTGGGGCAGGCACAGCACCTTTTGCTCGGCTCCCCTAGGCCATGTCTACACTGGGCTGGGGGCCCCACACCAGCCTCCAACCAGCCTCAGTTCTGGTTACCGAAGGCCCACACAGCACCGAGCTGCCCTAGGCAGTCTTGCACACCCAAGGTCTTGCTCCGCAGGCTCCAGCTGTGGGTACCCAAAGAGGCACATCATTCACATCCAAGCCTATAACCACCCCAGACACACATCGGCTGGCCAACACTGTCACACCCCAGAACGAGCATTACCAAGGACCAACTCCTCTTCCAAGCTGGCCAGGTGACATGGTGACCCCCCAGACGGCTGAGGGCAAGATCTCCAAGCCAGTTGGAAGAGACTCTCCGGAGAGGAAACTTCACAGCCTGAGTGTCCTCAGGACTTGGGAGCAGCAGCTCCAAGGCTCCCAAAGAAAAGCTTCAGGATAGGCAGGATCCAAAGGGGTGGGGGCTCCAGGTGCCCAGGATTCCCACCCCAAGTAATGTCGCCCCTATTTGCCCGGGGGGCTCCCTCCTGCACACTGGCAGAGTTGAGGTTAGGATTCTGGATCCTACAAAATAAGCACATGCTCCCCGGAAAGAAAGAAGGACCCCGTAGCCCAACTTCCTCCCCATCTCACCACCGGGGAGGAGATCCGACAGCCCGGACAGTCGCAGATTGGCGGGTGCACCTGCAGAATCCCCTTGGACATCAGCGTCTTCAGACTCTTCCCTGTGAGGAGAGGCAGGCAGGGCCGGTGAGGGCGTGGGCGGCACTTCCGGGGTGCAGTCAGCAGCAGGGCTGGGGCCCCCTCCCGGCACGAATATGCACACCCACCTCAGTCCAGCTTCCAAACCCACCACCAGCCCTGCCGCCCACCCCATCCTCGTGGGTCCCGCGGGGATTTCCAGAGCTCAGAAACTGAAGACCCGGGCGAGCGCCCTCCCCGACCGAGGGCGCCCCTCCTCCCGCTTCACCTTCTCTGAGCCGGGCTGTGGGACCCCAGGAGGGCACAGTCAGGACCTGGGGCTGCGCCTGGCCCCGTAGCGGGAAGAGGGGGGCCACTGTGGACTCGCGAACCCCAAAGTCGAACGCTACTGGGTTCCTAACTTTCCAACTCCCCCCACCCCCGCTCACCTCACTTCTGGCTGCCCGCTTAGGCGCCCGCCCGTCACGCCCGAAGAGCCTGACTCCTGCGGGAGCCCAACAGGCTGCTCCCAGCTTTGACG